AATTACTGACATTTTCCTCCTGAATAAGCCATTGCTTCCACTGCCCAGGCGGAGGCGGGCTGACACTTCTTCGGACAGGTCAGGCTCCAACGGATGTCCCCTCCTACCTTCACTGTCAACTCTGACTCCAACTGTCTTCTCAGAATCCAACAGTTTCCCCCATGAACATCTTTTTTCACTTCGCACTGAACATAGAGGTCCCCTTGTTTCAATAACTCGATACTGTTTGGGAACAAACTGAGTTGTTTTGACTCCATGATTCTGCTCTTCCCCCCAGCCTCTGGTCTTGAACGTGTCCATCTGACTTCTTTGAGAACTATGATGGTTTGTAGCTCCAGAAGGGACAGAGTTTCCATGCCCATTTTCTTTGAGTCTCTCTAGTAACCTCCGGTACTTCTCTCTCTCCTCGTTCTGAACACCCTCTTCCACCGTGCAATGGGGACGCCTGGGGCCCTTGGCACCCTCTTCAGAAAGCACCTCAGTTACTGCCTGTTCCTGAGCTTCCTGCATCAGGGGACTCTCTGGGCTGCCTCTGCTATGGCGACGGCCACCTGGTCTTCTGGTACAGCCTTCTGAGTTCAAAGCAAAACCAAAGGAAAGCAAGACTCTGCGTGGCTGGTCCCGGGTTACTGTCACTCTGATCTTTGGATAGTCACTTATGCCATTGGGAGACTTATTACCCAGTTTCAGCATGTTGTTCCAGGACCCAGAGTCTGTTAGTTCACAAGGTGTAGAGTTTGGAAATATCTCTCCGGAAGGGGCCACATTCCGTGTTCCATTACAAGCAGACGTCACCATGGGCTTTGTGGTCAGCTGCAACGGGAATCCAAACAAGCTGGCAGCATTGTAGAGACTGGTTTTCACTTGGTGAATGAAGCAATCTAGTCTTGGTCTTTTGGCTGGTATTTCATCAGTGTCCTCTTCTGTGGAAAACAGACTGTTGGAGCGCCGCCTCTTCAGGAGGGCCCGGGCAGGGGGCACCGGCCGGTCACAGAAATGGAAAATGGTGCCGAGAATTCTAACCAGCCATTTGTACATACCAGGCCGGAGCAGCAGCGGCGGCCGACACACCCCGAGACGCAAACCCCAGAGCTGTCGCCACCGCTGCCGCCTTCGCCGCTTCGGCCACCACCGCCGAGGCTCAGTCGCCGATTTGTCTCCTTTACTTTCAAAGACTAAACTTGTCTCGGGCAATTTTTCCCCAGAAGAAACCAGAGTGCATTTTTAAGCCACATTCTCCCTTTATTTCTCTATATAACTTGCAAACTGAGGGGAGAAGAGGAGGCGGGGGTAAGGCGGTGGTGCTGACCAACCCAGGGACAGGGGATCAACAAGTGATCCAAAACCAGTGGCAAGGAGGGTGTGAGAGGCCTGGTAAGGATTCAGCAAGGGCAAGGTAACCGAGAGAAATCACTGAAACCCAAATGAAGACTGAGCATGATAGTACGACAAGAAACTTGCAAGCTGTCATTTTTCAAGACTCTAAACCAGCAGTTCTCAACCTGTGGGTCTGGACCCCTTTGGGGGTCAAACGACCCTTTCACAGGGGTCGCCAGATTCATAACCGTAGCAAAATTGTAGTTATGAAGTAGCGATGAAAATAATGTTATGGTTGTGAAGGTTCACCCCAACATGAGGAACTGTATGAAAGGGTCGTGGCAGGAGGAAGGTTGAGAACCACTGCTCTAAACATGTATCTTGACTTTTAAACGTGACCACTCCCCCGTCCCCTCCTTTGCTGTTCCCATGTGCCTTTGATTCATTCTCCCACGCAGTGGCCCAGTGGACAGAGCAGAACTGCCGCGTGGGCTTTTCCAGGGTGTCATCTTTACAGGGGCCAGAGAGCACTGGGTGGCACGTGGTCTGTGGCACGCTGGGTGGGTTAGAGCTCCAGCCCCGAGCTTAACCACGGTGCCACCAGAGCTCAGCTCTTCTGTGCGGGGCCTCCCTTTCTCTCTGTACCCTGAACACAGTTCTCAAGGATTTATTTACCCTTTTCCCCTCTCTCTTTCTTGACTCTTCCTGCAGCCACGCTACACGTAACTTTGGTTAAAAGACTGTGAAACCTCTACCTTGTCTCCAAAATCCCAAGTTAGGATCTGGAATTCATCTTCCTGCATTATGAACTCATCTTCCCCATGCGCTCAAACGCATTTTCTAGTCCTGCCTCCATGTTTCTTTTAATGAAACCGAGATCCATACCCCAGTTATCAAGGCTTAAAACAGGAGTGTTTGATTCCTGCCTCTCTGTCATCCAGGCAACTGCCAAATTCTGTAGAGATCATTTTACCGGCATCTGGAATCTCGGTCCCATTTCTTACTCCATTTCTTCAATCATGCTGGGTCATGCTCTAATACTTTAGATGAGTGGTCATCAAACTTTTGAGACGGAAGAGCCAACCCTGTCTCTTATAACAATTAAACAGTTATTCAAGAGCCATAAATGTATTTTTACAAGCAAATGAAATCACCATTATCTGAATAATAGCCTTAAACCTTTTCAATTTTGCTTCAATTAAAGAGCTGCCTATGGCTCTTGAGCAGCAGTTTGTGGACCCCTAATCTAGATTTTCCTAACAGCTAACAGTCATGCTACCATCTGTAAACTACAACTAGACTCCCATACAGACACACGCACACACCAGGAGTCAGTCAACACTTACCCTGCTATGTCACCAGAGGCACCACACAACTGCATTGATCAGTCTAAAGAAAGTATGACTTCCTAGCTGTCTGCAAGAAGCCCTGGTAACCGTGGTTAAGGGCTTGGCTGCTTTCTCACTGTGGCAGCTGACTACACTGACTTCTGTACAGCCTTGGACCCCGTAGGCAGCACTTCTGCTCTGAGTCCGAACTGACTTCATGATAGTGGGTGGGTCTGTTTCTGCGGCGTTTACCCATTGCTTACTGGATTGAATATAAATACTTCCAGCTGACCACAGTGAAACTTTCCCATCCCATTCCTTTCTACTTCCTCAAGTATGTCCCCCAAACCTCAGCCAAGCCCAAGTACTCATTGTTCCCTTAATGCACGCTTTTCTGGCTTCTTGCCTTTGCTGTACCTGGAAGCCTCCATCTTCCCCACACTGCTCTTTGAAGTCCCAGCCTGTCTCGGGAGGCAGCCACATGGCATTTCCTTTGTGAAGTTGTTCTTGAGCCCCAGTCTCATCTGCAACCAGGTAGAGTTTTATATCCCTCGGAATACCCGATAGCTTGTGTAAATTACATTTTCTCTCCTCGAGCTAGAGTAGCAACTGTGTCCTTTAAAAAATAAAATAACTTCCCTCCATCGTACTTGGCAGAGCCCATCCCAGAGCATACATACATTGTGAATATGACTTGGGTGCTAGACTGAGGTCTGTCTCTAGAATACCACATGCCACGAATGCAGGTCCTCGGACTGGACTTCAAACGTCCTGCTTACTGTAGCACAGAAAACCAGACCCTCTGCAAAGCCTGCGGCCCAACCATGCATCTGAGCAAAGGGGTGACGTGGTGAGAGGCAATGGCTTGTTGTTCTGTGAGGGAAAATTGGACCGTTCATATGTTTATAAGCAAGAGGGAGATGGGACATGGTGTGCTTAGCCTAACTTCCCCTTTTCTAAGAAAGTCTTTTCTTACACAATTCAGGAATCCAGTTAGCTCAGCCCTGCCATCTTGTGGGAAGATAAATACCCCTTGTTACTCTCTATGTTGTTGGGTGCCAGGGCATTCATAGCCC